AATAAATAAAAAACCGTTTTTATTTAAGAAAAAAATTATTAGTATGGTAATCTCAAAAGTTTAAACTATTAATTAAAATAAAAAATATTTTGGCATTGCTCCTTTACAACCTTTGAACATTATTCATTTATTTCCAAAAAAAACTGGTAGTTTACTCAAAAAAATTCTTTAATTCTTGTAGGTCAAACATTTTTTTAACAAAAAAGTGTGAGGTTTACAAAAAAAATTGCATGGCAACAATTCTTGTAACAAGCTCGTTGTCTAAAAAAAATTGTGGTAGGTTTCCATTTAGAAAAACAATGTTACTATGTTTATCTCTAAGTATAAACAAATAATTAATCAATTTTTTTTGAATGGCATTTTTATAGCCATTGCAAACCTATAAATTTATTTGCCAAAAAATTTGATAGTTTCGCCAGAATAACATCGTTTCCAGACTTTTGGAACACCCGGTATAGAATTTCATTGATTATTATTAGAGGTGCACAAAGTGGATGATGATAAACGGAATAATGTCACTGATAGTGATCGGTTTTTCATGCCGGGGATTACCGGCAGGTTCCGAGACCAAATCGAGAGGAGGAAGCAACTGTGGCAGAAAAAGGATACAAATCCTACAGACAATAATGGACAAAGTAAAAAAGTCTGGGAGACGACAACTTTTGCTCAAGACACTGATGGTACTAATAATAATAATAATAATAATAATAACTTCGATTGTCTTGTTATTTTTTAAGGAAAAGTCGCTAGTAAATTTAAAAGATTGATGGGAATCAAAGGTGCGACCGAAGGCGCCAGTTCCACAACCGATGTTTTGAAGAAACAAGAAGAAATGTTCAGTTCAATGGAACAACAATACGAAGTGGCCCGAACGGCAACACACACAATGCGAGGAGTGGGCCTAGGTTTTGGTAGTTTTCAGCGATAATTCTCATTTATTTACAATGTGATTTAGTTTTATAAATTGTATTGTTTTCGCGCATGTAGTAGGCCACTAAAACATGTTATTCACTTTATAATAAACACTCATTTTCGTTTACATTGACAGATTATAGAGCTCCTGGGGGCGCCGCCGGTGTTATATCCGGTTTACTTTCGAGTGAAAATGGCGGTATTCGACAATCGAAAGTGTACCCATCTTCTCGTTCCATCCTGAAAGTCCCCCTTAAACAAGAAAATTAAGTTGGCACACATGTAACTTACACACACTTACCACATATGGCCGCTGGGTGCTTGCAGACTCACGTGACTACTGTATTGAAACGCTGGTAGAGTCCTAGTGAGCGCTGGCTCTTGGCCTACTACGCCACGCCCACGTACTGTTTCCAGAGTACCAGACAGAGAAAAAATACGCCAGTGGCGTTCGCGTAACTGGACACTGAGCGAACCTAAATTTTCTAACCTTATACAATACCTCCACTAAAAAACAATTATAAAACATGGTTGATACAAATGGGGGGTTTTACCCAATAGACTGAAGTGGAGTGGGATTCCCTAAAACCCATATAAAATGGGATCACAGTCACTCTGATATTTTCAGTTGTTTCTTTATGGACATCTGACAGTTCCAGCCATGGGTGGTTTTTGTTTTGCCACGCTCGGAGGGTTTCCTGGGCCACAAACGGCGGATCTGAAATTACAGGAATCTGTAATGTGTATTATTGGTTGCCTATAAAAGGGTCAATTTTCCATTAAGGTCACCTTTATCAGGATCATAGGCTAGGAATTTATCAAACAACTCGTGATGCAGGGGGGATTTTTCTGCACTGGTGTAGGGAATAATATCTTCATGGGCCACATAATCCAGTCCAGGGATGGCATACAAACTCCTGGATGAATCCTGATTGCCTAAGAAAGTCACAGCTTCGGTTTGAGCTCTCTACAACAAACCCCCTTATCCCTTGTCAAAGAATAGCAAATTGATTACAATATAAGGACAGTCTCTCTGATCGATCAAAACTTGATAAAACGTATGCGTGCGCCCCCTAACCTCCTTCCCGACCCCCGGATTGGGCTCCACATCCCCCGACCGGTGCTGGGGCAAATCGCGGTCGTACACACGAGCCAACCACGGGAACAACACCACCCCACGATACCCAAACACACGGTGGAGGATCAACTGGCCCGTCTCGTACTTCCCTGTGATTTTGGGGGCGTCCAAACGCCCCACTTCGGCCAATCTGCAACATAACCTCACTTTAGTGACACTTCAATTTTTTACGGGTATTTTAACAAGTCGCGAGTTTTTGGCACTCACCTGGCATACGAGCGGTTATGGACGGTCAAACACACCGGAATTTTCACTAATTGACTGTTCAAAACGGCTCGCAACACTTCCATTTTTCATAGTTTTGCGCACTTATAAGTCAGACGAAAGCATGATTAAAAGAATTAAAATGGGGCTGCCTGACGCAAAATGACAACGCACCGGTAATTTTAACACAAATTGTGACGAATTTTGTTTGTTTTTCAACAAAAATATTTTGGGCTGTTTTTCAGAGGCCGCATTTTTACGTAACCAACATAGGGGGCGCCACAGTCAAACACATTATTGTGCAATTTTTCGATTAAAATTATTAAACACAAGATGTGCAATGGACATTCTAACTGATTCTCTTTATTTTTGTTTAAACAATATTGAAGAATAGAGTTTTAATTGATTTTATTTTGTTATATGCGTACAAATCCGGCTTATCTCATCTGTCATTGTCACTTTGACATTGACATTTAAAGTCCAATTGTCAAAATAATCGTATTTGCTGCATTTTTGGTGCAGTGCCCGAAATCCGGTTTAAAAATGCCCCAATAATCAAAACCTCCCACTTAACAATGCATAAAAAGACTGATTAAACCAAAAGTAAGTATCTTGAAGTGGAACCATGAGCCCCCTTAACGTTCAATTTCAGTACAAAATGCCGGAAAACCTCGAACTCCAACAACTCGTCGACGACGAAAGCGAAACTGACGTCAAAATCCACAGTCGGAAATCGTGCAAGTGCCCCTATTTGGGGCTGCTTTTGGCCACTCTAAGCTCCTTGTTTTTCTCTCTTTGTTCTGTGATTGTGAAGTGGATGACGGATGTGGACCCCATGGCCCTCGCCGCTTACCGTTACTTGGGGGTGCTCCTCCCGGCAATCCCCATCGTGATATACCGCCAAGAGCCCCTTTTCCCCCAAGGCAAGCGCATAATGCTCCTCCTGCGGTCCTTCACGGGGACCGCAGCCCTAATGCTGAGCTTCTACGCATTCCGACACATGCCCCTGGCCGACGCCTCGGTGATTGTCTTCTCCGTGCCTGTCTTCACCGGGATCTTCGCCCGGATGTTCCTGAAGGAGCCCTGCGGTTTATTCAACATTTTCTCGGTGGTTTTGACTCTAATCGGCGTCGTGTTGATAACGCGCCCCCCGAGTCTCTTCGGCGACACGATCAATTCGCTGGGCGAGTCGGGGCAAAAGACGGAGATTTGGGGGGCTGTCGCCGCCTTTTCGGCCACGCTCTTCGGGGCTAACGCTTATGTGCTGTTGAGGGCCCTCAAAGGGATCCATTTCTCGGTGATTATGACGAATTTCGGGTCGTTCGCGCTTTGCCAATGTCTTTTAGTGACTTTTTTGATTGGGGCCTTGTGTGTGCCTCCCTGCGGTCTCGACCGGTATTTAATAGTCGCTCTAGCGTTTTTTAGTTTTTTGGGGCAAATTTTATTAACACTAGCGCTCCAAATGGAGCAAGCGGGGCCCGTGGCCATTGCGAGAAGTAGTGATATTGTTTTTGCTTTCATTTGGCAAGTGTTGTTTTTTAATGAAATACCAAATCGGTTCTCAATAGGGGGCGCTGTTTTAGTTATGAGTTCTGTTGTTTTGACCGGAATGCGAAAATGGATACTTGCCTTGCCCCCAGAGGCGAATCTCAGAAGGAATCTCGCGTTTCTAGTCAAATAGTTTTAATGCCAAAAAATTGTTTTATTTTGTGATATTTTTGACAGTATTATATTATTGTTATTCCTTTTTTTTTTCTATTGAAACGTCACATTTTTCTTCAAGAATTCATATTGCCTTCTATTAACTCGATACGAGAATAATGTGACGTCGATTTTTTTTTTTTTTAATCATCCTGTATATATATATATATACAAGCTTAGGTGGCAGCGCACAAGCTTAGAGGGGCAAAAGCCACTAAAACACAATTTTGATGTCGTAGCAGCTCGAATATTTTCCCAGAGGTAATATACCGGGTGTTTACTAAAATGTGACTTATTATTATTGCGACTTGACAAAATATAAAGATTTGTCAACAAGAAATTACCACCTAGGATTTGAACTTTTAGGAAAATTACGTTTTTCATGTTGTTTGTAACTAGAATTTTCAGAAGTAACTTTGAATGCCTAGGGTTGGTTACCCCTTGTTGTTGACGATTGACGTTTCCTGTCAACCTACTGTCAAATATCAATTGAATTATCCATACAAGCTGACAGGTGGCTTAACCTAAATTTTGACATTAGTTACGATATCTTTTGTTTGTCACCACAAACCAACCTAACCAAATTTATGACAACCTATTCAGGAATATCCCTAAATCCTAGGGAGTAATTTATTGTTGATACGACAATATAGGATGTCACACGAGTAAAAATGAGCAACCAACATTACATTTCAAGGATAACGTGGATATTGAAATATTTGCTTATTATTACTCGTATTACATAACAAAAGAGAAATAAAATTAACCGACTTTTTAGTTACTGGTAAGTTTTATTAAATAAATAGTCGCTTCGCATGATCTTTGCACAATTGAGACAATTTTTGTGAACTCCCAGTATTGTTTTAAATCATTAATCTTAGATATTTTTTACAATTGTGATAAATACAGTTTTTTTTTCGTCAGTCGTTGTTTTTGCGATGTTGGTTGACAAGTCGACTGTACGCAGGACCAATTTGCTATTGGACGTAATTTCCGATGAGTTAATAAAATTGAATGAAGTAATTTGGTGGTTTATTTCCGCTTGAAAAATTTGATTTCTAACCCGAATTACAGTTTTCTGTAATACAACTAGTGTTATCTATCCTTCAAATGTCTAAAAGGGTAAAAAAAAAAGCTGTTTTCTGTAGTACAACTAGTGTTATCTATCGTTCAAATGCCTAAACTTCTAAAAAAAGGAAACTGTTTCATATATAAAGTGCCATCTGTTCGCCAAATTTCTAAATAAACAATTTTACAGAAACCTATAAAAAACGTTTTTTTTGACTCTATTATTGTAATCCGTCATTTGGTGATAATAAGAAAGCGAAAAAAAAGTTGTTTGTAACTATTTGTAACTCCTTTTGTTTCAAGAGTCTGTATCCTGTCAGTGGATGTTTTGGAAGAAGCAAAGAAGAGTTACGAGAGTCATTCTTATGATATAAATGATTTTCTGTTTTTTCAATTTATTTACGTTTTATTACTTCTAGTCTTCTTTTTCACTGTTATAAATACAACTTTATTTCACTACTTTCTTTCAACTTCTATGTGATACTATATATTTAATCTGTCAAATAAATAAAAAACTTAATAGTAAACTGTAAATTTATTTGAAAAAATACATTTTCCCGTTCCTAAAATTTGAACGTGCTCACAAAAAATTATAAATACCTCTTTGTGTTTCTATGACTCCTGTTATTCGTGCTATTTTTTTTTAAATAAAATTTAAAATTTGTGCTAAAAATTGTAAAATTTAAAAGTATTTGGAGTACCAGGATCACAGAAATGCCAAAAAAATTAAATTTTCCGTCAAAATACCGCTTCGCACTCCTATAATCCTGTTACTCGTGATACTTTTTAAATTTGACGATTATTAGCACAAATTTTAAATTTTATTTCAAAAGTATCAGGAGTACCAGGATCATAGAAACGCGAAGAGATATTTTGGCGAGAAAATTAATTTTAAATTTCCCGCCAAGATACCTCTTCACACTCCTATGATCCTGTTACTCCTGTTACTTTTCAAATAAAATTTGAAATTTGTGCTAAAAATTGTAAAATTTAAAAAGTATTAGGAGTACCAAAATCATAGAAACGCGAAGAGGTATTTTGGCCAAAAATTTAAAATTCCCGCTATAATACCTATTCGCACTCCTATGATCCTGTTACTCCTGATACTTTTTAAAAATTCCGGAATTTTCGATAAAAATCGTGAAATTTTCGCAAAATTTTAAAAGTATCAGGAGTACCAGGAACACAGAAACGCGGAGAGATATTTTGGCGGAAAAATTAATTTTAAATTTCGCGCCAAATTACTTCTTCGCACTCATATAATCCTGTTACTCCTGATACTTTTTTAAAATTCCGGAATTTTCAAAAAAAATTCGAAATTTTCGAAAAATTTTAAAAGTATCAGGAGAGATATTTTGGCGCTAAAATTAATTTTAGATTTCCCGCCAAGATGCCTCTTCGCACTTTTATGATCCTGTTACTCCTGTTTCTTTTCAAATAAAATTTGGATCACAGAAACACAAAAAGGTATTTTGTCGGGAAATTTAAAATTTCCGCCAAAATACCTCTTCTCACTCCTATCATCCTACTGCTCCTGATACTTTTTAAATAAAAATTAAAATTTTTGTTAAATATTGCAAAATTTTTAAGTAGCTGGAGTAGGTATCAGAATCTCAAATTTAAAAATTTTCTTTTTTTACAATATTCTGTAAAAACAGCTTAAAAACAGTTTATTTTTAAAATAATTTTCTTTTTTTTACAGGTTTCTGTAAAACCGTTTGAAAAGTCTATCGACAGATGGCACAATATGCATTACAGATAACTGTTAGACAGATGAGAAATTAGAATTTGCATTTTGAATGATTTATTCACTTTTTTTAAATGTAAAACTTAAAAAACCACTGACTTTTTAGATTGTAGGTCAAGTAAACACAATTAAAACTATAAAAACTTTTTTATTGCGAAAATAATACAGGATAAATAATAAATCAGGGAAATAATACAATCAGGATATGCATTTTTCTTGCAACTTTTCAACACTTGAACTCGTCTCAAAAACAGGGGCTCCGCCCCAAACTCCCATCGTGATGCACACCTGAAAAAATAAATTAAAAAAAAAAACAAATTATTACCCATCGGTCACTTTTCGTGGTACCAATCCAAAGACTCTTCTTTGTACTCGTTTTCGCTTTAATTAATCTCTTCTTCGCCATTTGTACGAAAATTTTTAAGTAAAATGTTACTTTTTTTGCAATTTTTAGCGAAAATTTGAATTTTTGTTTAAAAAGTATCAGGATTTTTAGCACAAATTTCAGATTTGTTAATTAATTTCCGATGAGCCAATAAAATTGTATGAAGTAATTAGATGGTTTCATTCCCGCATATGCCAAAATTAGGGGTTGATTGGTGTGCTTCCGGTCATTTGAAGCCGCTGAAAAAATCATCTTTCGCCCTGAAATAAATTACTTTCGTCTAGAAATCAAATGAAATTTTCATCACCGCCGAATGAAACTCGGGGATTGGATGGAGTTGGCCGATTGGAAGGTCTTTGTCGGTGTTAGGCTTTTTATTTTGTTAGTATTTTCATTCATCTCGGGGGTCATTAATTTAGTGAGGAATTTCAGGTAGCTCGAGATTAATAATAGTGTCGGGGGGAGAGCCAGATGAGGCTTTAATGAGAATAAGACGACCAATATGTAAACTTTGAATTTTGAAAATTTTCAAATTGTTGTCATGGCGTTCTTTGATCCACCTGCTCCATGACGCGTTAATTTTAATGTAAACTCGTCGATTTCGAATGCGGGTGGTCTACTTTTCTTTCGATGATGATGCAGATATTTCGGTTAATAGAGTGCAATTGCCGTCCCTAATGCACGCCACTGAAACAGGCTTTTTGACGATGCCTTCTTCCTCAAATTTGTAGGAAAAGTATTGAATGATGTTTCACTTTCAAATTATACCATTGATTGGTTGGTTTAGAGAAATGGTTGGAAAAAATGATGGTCTTTATCAACCACGAAATTAGAATATTTGAAGGAAATCGTGATGAATAATGCTTGAGGTTTCGAATGTTTGGGAAATAGAAATCGCGTTTTAGTGGTTATTAATCGATTTGGTAATAATAAAGTTTTGGTAAAAAGTGCTGAGTTGGGAGTAAATAGACCTTGTTTTTTGCGGATGAGGAATTATATCAAACTGTTTAAACTGGTTTTAAAATTAAAGAATGCATTTTTGTTGAGATTTAAAAGTGTGACTATGCTATTGTTACATTAGCACTTCCTTTAAAGATAAAAAAAAAATAATTAAATTAAAATTCTAACTAAAAGAAACTGTTTCACAATCGCTTTTATAAAAAATAATTCAAGTTTCATACTTTACTAACAAGAACTGAAAATATTGAAATTTTGAAACACAAAAATTATACCTTTATATTAAAAACATAAAATAAATTTTTGGCAAAATTCGACTTAAATTTCAGTTTCTAACAGTGTAAAAAAAATAAAGAATCGTACGAAGGAATGTAACAAAAAGTAAGTATGTTAAAACGCAGTTATAAAAAGTAAAAAGTGAAGTAAAATCTAAAATAAAGTAAAATTTAAATGAGACTGAGAAACAAGATCAAAAATTTTAGAAAAGCGTAAACACCACGTAAAAATTAGAGCTTTATATATTATATTATATATTATATATTATTAAACAGGAAAAACACATAAGGACATAAGCGTGAAAAAATTTGAAGTATTATTTTTACTTTATGTAATCATCACGTAAAAAAAGAAACATTGATCTTTGAAGAACACAAAAGTAAGAAGGTAGGTAAATAAGAACGTAAAAACATATGTAAAAAAATAAAAACAAAAAAACATGAAACAAAATCAGAATGCACAAAATCGTGAGAATCTTTAGATAAACGTAACCATAAAAACGAAATCAGAACTTGAGAACTCAGAGAAAGTAACTTTGTAAAAACCTAGAAAAACTAAAGAAATAAGACCGTAAACCAAAAAATAAATACATACACATGAAACGTAAAAACGTATGTTAAGAAAATAAGAATAAAAAATAGGGTGTTCCATTTGAATTTTTTAAGTTAATTAACTTTTAACAAATTTCCATTTTTTTTAACTTTTCGCCTGCAATACATTAAAAAAATGTTATAGTCTTAAAGTTTGTACTTTCCTCTTTATAGTGGTAATTTTTTTTTAGCTGTCAACTTTTTGTGTAATAAATTTTTAAAAAAACATTGAAATCAAAAGCTACATTAAAAAATTCCAAGAAACAAGGTGTTTCAAAAAAAAAATTGTATTGTAACATATTTTTGAACCACCCTGTATAATCAAAAATATTGTCCTGAAATGCGCTCTAGAATATAAATTAACTCTAAGTACAAAATATCAAAATTTCCACTTAAATAATAACTAAGGTACAGACGACCGGAGCTGAGATGAATCACTCTGTATAATATAGGGTGATTCAGGCCCGATACCATTGTCAAAATCATCGGCCAATTTCGATTTTTCAATCTTTTATATTAATTAATTCACAAATAACCGATTTTTTTTGTTACAAATAAAGAAATTTACATTTAGATTAAATAAATTTTTGTCGCAATTATCATGTAAAAAAATGAAAAAAATCATAGTTGACCAATGATTTTGAAATTTGGTATAGGGGCCTAAATGTTGTTTCTAAACAAGTTTTCTTAATAACTTTTTGTTGTTTTTGCCACATAAAAGGCACTTTGCTCCATAAAAAATTCCGGGTTTTTTCATTTTTTGGGGTTTAGCCCTGTGAAAAATCAAATTTGCTTTGATAGTTTTCAAAAAACCTACTTTTTGTTAAGTGCTTTTTATGTGGCAATTTAAAGTCAAAACTACGGTTTTTATTCTTTTTTTATGTTTACTATTTGACAAATCAAAGAATTTTATTTTTAACAAATTTAATACAAAAAAACTACACAAAATCGACAAATAGTTATTTATTATAGAAGACGATAAAGAAATTGTTCATCTACG